GTAGACTGGTAGGGACAGGAGAGTGTCAAGACAGGCTTTTCCGAGGAGGCAATAATTGGGCTGAGGGAAAGCAGGAGAAAGGGCTGTCTGGCAGACAGAAGGGAACAGCAAGTGCACAGGCACAGAGGTGGGAAATGTTGAGTGTGCGTGTCGGGAAGGCAGGGAGATGAGGTTGGGAGGGTTGGTGCCACATGTGAAGGGCCCCAAAGGGGGCTATCAGGGAGAGGAGAAATCATCAGTGGTGTGTTCTAAGGTTTCTCAGGGGGTAACATGGGGAGGAACTGCAGGGGGCGCAGTTCCTCTGTTTCTCTGTTGGAACAGAGGGAGCCTGCTGACATGGGGTCTGGATGAGGGCGGAGTCAGAGAGAGATTTCTGAGGCAGAACTCGGGATTTTAGTGACTCCCAGATACAGCCCAGTTTATCAGCCTTCAGGCCTCTCTGTGGGAAACGCTTCAGATGCAGCGTGTTGGGGTCTCAGCTCATCCTCTTTTGAGCAGATCACTCCCAGGGCTCCCCTGCCGCTGTCCTCTTCTGTTCCAGGGGACCCAGGTCACAGCTAGCTTTCTCGCTCTGTCCACTCCCATGATAGTGTTCAGGCACATGTCTGTGATCCATCTTACATCCTAAGCACGGCCAGTCACACCCCCTGTAAGACTGTGATGAAGGTTATGACCTCCTGGGCCCCTCAGATCCAGAACTCCTGAAGGAGAGCTCTGAATCCAGCCGATCTTGGTCCGTGCAGTTGTTCACACATTGATCAGCAAAACTTGGCCATTAGAAAGCAAAACAACTGTTAAAGCGCTTTCCATCATTTATTTAGAATAAAAATGACACGCAACATTCCAAAAATGAGTAAAACCTTGGGGTTAGAATCAAATCTGGGATTCAAATTCTGACTTTGCCATGTATGGCCTTGGGCCAGGCACTTAACCTCCCTGAACGTCTGTTTCTTCATCTATATGTGAGGAGGAAATTATGCTTGTGATGTGTGCAACATAGAGCCTGGCATATAACAAGCGATCGGTAAAAAGTAGCTATTGTTGTTAACATTTTCACCACAACTAAATTATTTTGTGGAAACAACTATGTGTTAATACCGTCAGCTGATCCACATGACCCAATCCTGAAAAAAATGTTATTTATTAACAAGTATTGAGAAGTAGTGAACTTTTTTCCATAGACACTTCCTTTTATAGACACCCTAGAAGGCGTTCTGGATAAAACAGATTCACAGATTGTAACAGGTAAGGGAGAAGGGAACACCCTGGTAAGGAAGCATTTTACAACTGATGAAGGGATAACGATCATTTACAAAATTCTTCAACCTCCCCAGGGATCAAAGAGACTCTACTATCAAACTAACAAACTCCTTCTCTCCCTCTTCCTTCCTTCCTTCCTTCCTTCCTTCCTTCCTTCCTTCCTTCCTTCCTTCCTTCCTTCCTTCTTTCTTTCTTAATGAGAGTAGGAAAGATGACAAGGATATTAAGAATTAGACAAACTTATAAACGGCCAGTGGTCATCTAAAGGGTACATCTTTCTCTTTTCTTCCTTTCCCTTCCTTTCTTTCTTTTCCTCCTTCCTTCCTCCCTTCCTTTCTTACTGTTTTCATGTTTTATTATGGAAAATTTCAAACATACACAAAAGTAAAGAGAGTAGGATAATGCACTTCTATGCACCCATCGCCCAGCTACAACTTTTATTTTGTCATTGATATTGTTTCACACATTCCCCTAGTCTACTAACACTGGTCATTTTGCTAGAGCATTTTAAAATAAATTTCAGACATCATCTCTCGTGTAAATATTTCAAAATGGAGTATCTCTAAGATAACCAAAATGCCGTTATCACACCTAACAAAATTAGTATGATTCCTTAATATTAGAAATATGCCTGTTTAGAAAGTGGTTTGGTAATACGCATCAAGAATGTATTCATACACTCTGACCCAGTAACTTCGCCTCTCTTTTTCTACTGAATTACAGGAAAAAAGTTTATTCTGTAGCCTTATTTGTAAGAGAAAAATACATAATTGAAAACAACTTGGGGCTGGCCCCGTGGCTCAGAGGTCAAGTGTGCGTGATCCGCTGCTGGCGGCCCAGGTTCGGATCCGGGGCGCGCACCGAGGCACCTCTTCTCTGGCCATGCTGAGGCCACGTCCCATGTACAGCAACTAGAAGGATGTGCGGCTATGACATACAACTATCTACTGGGGCTTTGGGGGAAAAAATAAATAAATAAAATTTAAAAAAAAGAAAACAACTTGACTGTCTAACAATAGTAATTATGGTATGTTCATGCAAGGATATTTATAAAGTTTTAAGGTTGAGTGGCAATGTTTATAGTTAATGCAACTAAGACCAAGCAGGATTTAAAATTACATGTTCAGTGTGAGATTTGTAAATATGTGTGTAAACGTTTTCACCGGGCACTGACTATATCTCAGGTGCTGTGCGAATAGTGTTCACTCAAAAAATAGGAGCATTTTTAATGCCTCTTACAGATGAGGAAATTGCTGTTCAGAGAGAAAATTACTTTTAGAGTACCCTCAGCTGATGAGAAGTAAACTGAGGCATGAGTGGGCCCCAAGTTCTGTTTGTCTCCATAGCCCAAGAATTTAACCATTCTTCTGCCGCCCTGGGCATCAAATATTAACAGGAGTTGTCACTAACTGAGCAGTGGGATTAGAGGTGGTTTCTATTTCTTCTTCACACCTTTCTTCACTTTGCAACATTTTCTACTGAAGGTATTAATTTTATACTAGAAAAAAATACATTTAGATTATATATTTAAAATTTTATATTTAAAATTAAAGAGAAAACATATTTGGAACTCGCACCAGATGAAGGGCTAACATGGCCAATGTGCAAAAAGCTCCTATAAATTGATCAGAAAAGAGGTAAACAACTCAAGGGAAAAAGATGCAACTCAGAAGCCCAATGACTAATGATACAAAAAAGATCCTATATCTCACTAATAGCCAAGTAATTGCAAATTAAAACCATGATAAGATACCATTTTCTATTTATCAAATTGGCAAAAATTTAAAAAGACTGATAACATCCATGTGCTGGTGAGGAGATGGGGAAAGAGGCGCTAGGACACACTGCTGGCAGGGAGGGGGCTGTGCTAGTAATATCTATCAACACCAAACACCCATACCCTTTGACCCAGCACAAACCCAGCAGTTGTAAGAGTCTGTCTTACAGAAATAAGAGCATCACTTGTAAAGATATATGTTTATGAATAGTTACTGCAGCACTATTTGTAGGGAGGATATTGGAAAAGCGTGACTTTCTACCAATAAGGAAATAGTTTAATGACTCAAGATCCATCAATTCAATGGAATATCATGCAGCCATTAAAAATAGTTAGATCTATAAGTAATGACCTGTGAAGAGAAAAGGAAGATGTATTGTGTACAGCCTCGTTGCTCAAATGGGGTCTACTGTACAAGGCATTGGCATCACCTGGGAGCTTGTGGGAAATGCAAAATCTTGCCCCCACTCTAGACCTACTGAATCAGAATCAGCATTTTAACAAGATTCCTGAGGGAAGCACTGGTGTATAGTGTGACTCCAATGGGAAAGCCTTCTCGTGTATTGTGGCAAAAATGGGTACTCATCCACCAAAATCCATCCTCTCCTTCTACACTACTACCTCTCATTTTTAGCTGGGCATGTGGCCACCCAGGATAAAGATTATATTTCCCAGGCTTCCTTGCAGTTTAGTGGGGCCATGTGGCTAAGCTCTGGCCAAGAGGACATGACTGGAAGTGAAGAATATCATTTCTACATTGTGCCCCTAAAAAAGAATGCAACTGTATTCCCCTGGGTGTTTCTTGCTTTCTGCCAACTGAAAAATGTCAGCAGCTGAATCAGTCACTGTATTAGTCTGCTCGGGCTACCATACCAAAATACTACAGATTGGGCGGCTTAAACAACAGAAATTTATTTCCTCACAGTTCTGGAGGCTGGAAGTCCAAGATCAAGGTGCTGGCAGGATTTGGTTTCTGGTGAGGCCTCTTTTCCTGGCTTGCAGATGCCTACCTTCTCGCTGTGTCCTCACGTGACCTTTCCTTGGTGTATGTGTGTGTGTGTGTGTGTGTGCGTGTGTGTGTGTAGAAAGAGAGAGAGACTATTTATCTTCCTCTTTTTAGAAGGCCACCAATTCTGTCAGATTAGAGCCCCCCCTTATGACCTCATTTAACCTTAATTGCTTCCTAAAGGCCCTATCTCCAAATATAATCACTTTAGGGGTTAGGGTTTCAACAGATGAATTTGGAGGGAGACACAATTTAGCCTATAGCAGCCAGAGATGGAGGCCACAGCAAAAATGCCCCACCCTCCTCGACCGCCTACCTCTGAACTGTTAGACGAGAGAGAAACTAGTATGTTATTCAAGCCACTGTATTTTGGTTCTGTTTGTTACAGCAGCTTAGCCTATTTCCCATCTGACTCACACATGTATATGTTTACAAAAGCTCCACTGAACAAGAAGAAAAGTATAAAATGATGCCCTCTAAATGGTTACTGTTTTTTTTTTTTTTTAAAGATTTTATTTATTTATTTTTTTCCCCCCAAAGCCCCAGTAGATAGTTGTATGTCATAGCTGCACATCCTTCTAGTTGCTGTATGTGGGATGCGGCCTCAGCATGGCCAGAGAAGCGGTGCGTGCCCGGGATCTGAACCCGGGCCGCTAGCAGCGAAGCGCGTGCACTTAACCGCTAAGCCACAGGGCCGGCCCAATGGTTACTGTTGATTGCTACAAAGGTGAGAGCGGTGAATAAACTAAAATAAGAGTATTGATGGGAAAAGTTATCCAACAACATTTCAAGTTTTACAATCACAGCCAACATTCAGATGACTATGGGAAACATGATTTTTCCCATTTTGTAAGTAAATGCCTAAAACAGTAAGAATCTTTACAGCAGGACTCTTAATTATAAAGACCGGTCACACAAATTCCAACCCTCCGTACATACCAGTTTTCCTTCTTCCCCTCCCTCCCTCTCTCCCTCCTTCCCTCCTTCTGGGGTGGGGATGCTGTGTCCCAGGGCAGGCAGGGACTAAGGTAGAACAAGTACAGTCCCTGTGCTGCTGCAACATCTTTCCAGGGTTTTATTTTCAGTTCTTCTCTCTGTACTCCAAGGGCAGAACAGGGATTTCCTTGAGAGGGAAGGATTTCCAAAGTGCCCTTGGAAGTCATTGTCACCTTCCTACTGGTAGAATGGCATGAGGGGCCCCCATCGGTTCAAGATGGGGACCTTGACCATACCGTGATGAGGACAGGGGCAGCCGGGCAGTAGGAAGTAGCCTTTGTCCTGCTCTGCAGCAGGTTGGCGCTCGGGCTCCAGGAGGCACGGAAAGTTGGTGCTCTTGTGGACCAGGTTTGGGTCACCCTGGGCCAGGTACAGCGCATGGGAAACTGGGTACACGGAAGGGCAAATACTGGTGAACCTGTGTTCGTCCTCTGCTGTGCTCACAAGGTCCTGTGATGGGAAGAAACCAGCATGTCCCAGGTCTTTGGCGGTCATGTAGAGTCTTTTGAAGGCAGGGTATCCATCCTCTAGCTTGGGGTTGGGGCTACGGATGGGCCTGTAAAACTCTTTGTCCCGGAGTTGGGTGTCTAGCTTCATTTGCTGTGGAAACAAATCACGTATGAACAGAGGGCTGAGAGAGGTGAAAGACGATGCAGCTTCCTTGGAAGTATCTAAGACAGAGCACACTTTTCTCTATTTTTGAAAATTTTAAATTAGTTTTTGAATGGTAATATATACAACAGACGAAAATACTGAAATAATACAAAAAGGTTTATAGTGAAAAGTAAGTCTCTTTCTTGTCCTCCTCTTGCCTTGGTTCCCATCTTCAGAGGCAATCACTGCCATCAGTGCTTTTTGCATCATTCTAGAAATATTTTATGTATGTATAAACATACACGTATATATCCACCCCCCTGGTTTATACACAAATCATGCATATTATAATTCCACTCTGCACTTTGCTTCCATTAAATAATGTATCTCAGAAATTGTTCCACCTTTGTCTGTATAGATCTTCTTCTTCTTCCTTTTAGTGGAGATGCCTCAAGATAGGAAAAAATTTCTTAAACAAGACTTAAAAAGAGCAAATGATAAAGGAAAACACTGATGCATCTAGCTATATTAAAATAAGAATTTCTATTCACTGAAAGACAGAGTGAAAAGACAAACCATAAACTAGAGAAGAGTTTTGCCACTCATAACTGGCAAATGAAAGATGTCCAGAATATTTAAGGAACTCCAATAAAGTAATAAGAAAAAGTCAAGCTACCCAATAGAAAAGAGGCAAAAGACGTGAACAGACATTTCACAGAATAAAAAATATCCATAAATAAACAAAAAGATGCTGCACTTCATGAATAATCAGTGAAATGAAAATTATGACCATATTTTCATTTCTTCATATGACCATGAAGAAAATATTATTTGAAACCCACCAAATTGACAAAAATTAAAAAGTGTGACAATACCAAGTATGGCAAGATTGGAAAGCTACAGGACTATCTTCTGGTGAGAAAGTAAACCGATACAACCACTTTGGAAAACAGTTATGTCACCTGCAACAAGCAATTTCACTCCTGAGATGGGTGACCTCTTGCACATGAGGCTGTGCCTCATCTCCATTGCAGTATTTGGGGGCAGGGAGTAACAAAAAAGTAAATAACCCAAATGTCCACCAACAGGAGAATGGGCAAATATATGGCAGCATATTCGTGCAATGTCATACAACACAGCAGAAAATGAATAATATGCCATAATGTGTAGCAAAAAATAAAAGTCACAGAAGAGTACAAATAGTATGATCCAATATACAATAAAGTTCAAAAAAGGCAAACCTAAACAATTTGTTTAGAGGGATACATACATACAGGGTAAACTGTTTAAAACACACACACACACACACACACACACGCATGCACACAAGGGAATGATTAACCTGAAACTCAGAACAGTGGCTACCTCTGGAAGTGGGGGGACGGGGGGGCACACAAGGGCTCTAAGATACTGTTAATGTGGTATGTTTTAAGCTGGCTGATGATGGTGCTTGTTTTATCAATGTTATTGAAACTGTAATTATATATTATTTACATTCTTTTGTATGCATGACTTATATTTGACGTACATTTTAAAATACACCCACACATACACATAAAAGTCCTCTTAGATCTCCTGGCATCGGATATTGTTCTAACTAAGTGCCCCCAATGTCCACACTTATAATAAAAATGAAATCAGGATTCCAGTGGGCAATTGAACAGACAAGACTGAGTGACTTCTTACCTCTTGTGGTGTGACCCTGGAGTATTTGTGCTTCCCATAGGGTTTATAGTCGACCATGTAGGAGCTTTGGTAAATGTCTAAGTCCACAGGGGCCTAAAGGACAAGGAAGAATACAAAACAAGAGACCCCATCTTGTTGTTCTTCCACTTAAAGGCATTCAGTGGCTTCTCATTGTCTGCAGGACAAAGGCCAACTTTTGGGCCTGGCGTTTGGAGCCCGTCATGATCTGCCTTCTACATGCCCCTCCGCACTCAAGCCTCACTTCTTTCCACTCTTCACACGTGCCTGGCACATGCTCTGATCTCCTGCTGGAAACGCTAGTTGCACTCCTCACCGACTGGCAAACTCCTACATATCCTCTAAGACCCAGATTAAATGTCACATCCCCAAAACATCTCTCCCACCGTTTTATTCTCCACTGCCCAAGAATTAAACCCTTTCTCTTCTGCTTTTATAGTACATTCTACATCTATCACTACAGCACTTATCGTGGTATACTATAAATGATTTAATGAAGTTCACTAAATTAGGACCTAATCTTAGGCATCTCTGCAGCCTCAAAGCCCAGCATGGTGCCCGACACACTGAGGGTGCCCAGTAAATGCATGCTGGCTAAATAAATGAACCCCACGTACACACCTAGCTCTCCCCTGCCTGTTTTGAAAAAATCCATTGTTCCAGAATGATGACCAGAGGGAGCCCCAAAGAGCCTGGCCCTCCTCTGGGGCTGCTTGCTGAGGCTGACCAATCTTGGGTTGGTCACAGGGACAGAATCCCACAGCACTCACCTGTCTGGGGTACACCACACCTGCCATAGCAGACGACCTAGACATAGACAAGTTGGTTAGCCTTGCTTCTGCCACTGGCAGGCAAAACAGCCACTGTCCCCAAAGCTGTGCCAACCAAGTACCACTCCCAGTCCTCTTAGCCCCACCCTGCACATTATGCAATCATCCAGGGATTGGGGGTGGCAGCAGGGATAAATGGGCTGGTGGGCAGGGGCCCTGAGGCAAAGAGTCTGGCACAGAATTCAGGAGGAATTGGAGGTGTTGAGAACATCAGATTTATCTCTCAAGCAGAGGTAAGCCTGACAGCAGGGGAAGTGGTATGCTGCTAAATGTCTAGCAATCACCTTTCAGGGCAAATAAGCCCCAGTTTATATTTGCCAATTTCTGTGTTGTAAATGCTCCCACCATGGCCCATTTTGAGCTATCACTATATTGTCACTGATGGCAAGTTGCCAAGATGTGCACAGACTGGGCTTTCAGAGCCAGGGTGAGCTACTCCAGCACACATGTCCCACTGAACAGCGCTCTGAACTACCCTCAGGAAGCAAGGTTCGTGCCTAGGCCTTAGAGGCACCCTGATTCAGAAGCACTGACTGTGTTTTCTAGTGGAAATTGGGGGTAGCCAGGGTAAACTTGTGAGGCTCTGCATTCCCAGTTGAACAAGAGCAGCATGTAGGTCCAACCCTGCCCCTCGCCCCCCAGCCCTGAAGTCCTAGAGGCTTGGCCTTACTGCCTGGGCACTGGAGAGCTCTCTGAGCTCACCCCATCTTGTGTACATGACCCCCTAGGTTCTTGATTGGTGCTCCATTTCATCCCCACAGACCCCTGCCCTGAGCCCCACTCCATTCAGCAGACAATGGCCCAGTAGGGTGGTTGCCAGACCTCAAATGGCTCCTGTGTTCCCTCCTTTTTGTGCATAGACAGCTCTTCTCCTGGGGCTGGGGTCCAGTTTCTATGCAAAGAGTATCTACCCGTCCTTCTGCCAAGGGGATGATGATGATCCTGCCTTTCCAACTCCAGGTGCCCCTGCCGCATGGAGAGTCCTGCTGATGTGTCCCTCTGCCACACCTGTCTTTGAGATGAACCTTGACCTACATGATGCAGGCTGTTTTGGTCACAGTTCTTGGTCATTGTGATGGGGTGGCTGGCCAACCTGCCTGCATGTCAGTTCCCCCGTCCCTGGCTCACTCTCTCACACAGCGAGCTGCTGGTGTCCCAGCACACGGGAGCCAACAGGAACCCTAGCAACATTGAAGGTACCCAGGAGGCAAGGGTTTTCCAATACTCTATAGAATCGATCTATTTCCAGGAGAAGTAAGTAAACAGAACCCCATGTGGATTATGATGTCAGACAACAAGCGACAAATCCACCTTATACCAAAGCCCCTCCAATCCTCTGTTGCCTGAAAGGCTGGCTTATCTCTCCTCCATCTGTCAAAATTCCACCTTCTTTCACACGGCTATAATCCAAAAGCAAAAAATAACAAGTGTTGCTAGGATGTCGAGAAATTGGAACACTTGCTCATTGCCGGTAGGAATGCAAAATGGTGCAGCCACTGTGGAAAAGTTTGGTGGTTCCTCAAAGAATTAAACATAGATTTACCATATGATCCTGCAATTCCACTTCTGAGTATACACCCAAAAGAAGTGAAAGCAGGGATTCAAACAGATACCTGCACACCCATGTTCATAGCAGCATTATTCACAATAGCAAAAAGATGGAAGCAACCCAAATATCCATCAACAGATGAATGAAATGGATAAACAAATTGTGGTATATACATACAATGGAATATTATTCAGCCTTAAAAAGGAAGGAAATTCTGACACATGCTACAACATGGATGAATCTTGAAAACATTATGCTAAGTGAAATAAGCTCGACTGTAAAGGACAAATATTGTACGATACCACTTATGTGAGTTACCTAGAGTCATCTGATTCATAGAGACAGAAAGTAGGATTGTGGTTGCCAGGGGGCTGGGAGGAATGGATATAGAGTTTCAGTTTGGGAAGATGAAAAAGTTCTGGAAATGGGTAGTGGTGATGATTCCACAACATTGTAAATGTACTTAATGTCACTAAATTGTACACTTAAAATGGTTAAAATGGTAAATTTTATGTTACATATATTTACCACAATAAAAAAATTCCTCTCTTTTTAAGGTCCCCCTCTTCCATGAAGCTCTCCTTGGTCTTTCACTAGAAGCCACCAGAAATTCCTTTAATTTATCCAACCAATATTTACTGAGCACTTATTTGTATTGGGCATTGTTCTGAACCTGGCAGATTCGACAGTGAACAAAACAGATGGAAATCCCTGCTTGCTCAGAGCTTACATTCTGGTGAGAGTAAAACAGAGTAGACAAAGTAATAAGCAGTTCAGCCTCCATCAGAACCAGCAAATAAGCAAGATGATGTGTGAGACAGTGACTGAGTGGGCACTTCAGATGGGGGGTCTGAGAAGGCCTCTCTGAGAGGTGATGTCACAGCAGAGATCTCAAGTGTGAGGAAGAACCAGCCATGCAGAGATCTGGAGGAAAGGGGCTCCCAGCACAGGGGTCAGCAAGTGCAAAGCCTGTAAGACAGGAACAACTTGGAGCAAGATGGGCTGAGGAAAGGGGTGGGTGAGGGCATGAGGCCAAGAGAAGGAATGTGTTCTAAGTCTCTGACTTTCCCCTTCTTTCTGCAATGGCATGCCAATTCCACTTTAGAGAACCGTTTCTCTCCCCTTAGGGATCATGTGGTTTGAGTGGTGCCGACCTTACTCCAGCTCTAAATGAACATGTTGTCCTCAGAATATTCCATCCTCTAGGCCACCATGATTGATTCAGGGAGAGGCTCATGACCCAAGGTGGGCTGATGAGCATCATCCCCAGCTCTTGGGAAAGAGGCTCTGTCTTTCTGAGATAGTGGGCATTAAGAACCATGTGAGCCTGGAGCTGCCTGAGGCCATCCTTGCCCAAGTGGAGAGAGCCTGGCCAAGAATAAAATCAGCAGAGAAAAGAAGACCCAAGAGATGGAGACAGAGAGTGACTGCATCATGAGGATGCTGAGCCCCTGGATACGACCATGCCTGAAGCTTGACTTACATCTAGACTTTGCAGTTTATGTGAGCCAATATATTCCTTTTCTTGCTAAAGCCAATTTTAGTTGAGTTTACGTAACTTACAGCTGAAGCAGTCCCAAAAAATTCAAGATTGGAGAGCTATAGTAGTTATTTCTCCTAAAAAACTCTGGATCCTTCAGTAAAGAACTGGGTCTTCCTCATCTTTTATCCCTCAGTGCACTCTCAGTTAAGTGCAAGGATGTAGGAAGCGCTTGTGAATTTAATCAAACTGAAAAAAATGGCAAAGAACAGGGTAAAGAACAGAATGGCTGCAGAGATGGCAGTGGAGGGGACAGCTGGGTCAGAACAAGTGATTTTTGTGCCTCCCGGATATATTTTTCAGGAAAATATTACCAAGTAGATTTTGGAGTCCTGACTTCAAATCCTGACACTATCCTCACATCTTTGGGTAAATCGTGGATGTTCAACAGAAGTCAGTTTGATCATCTATAAAACAGGGATGTAATATCACTTGAAATGAATGTAGGAAGTCAAGTGGATACGTCTGTGAAGGTACTTAGTGTTGTTCATACCAATATTCATCCATATGTTTTGTGTTTCTGCTCTGTGCCAGACACTATGCAAGGGCCATGATTACAGTAATGAAATAAAACAGACGTGATCTCTACCTTTATGAAGTTACGGTATAATTTTAGGCATATATATAGTCACACAAGTGAGTCTTTGATTACAATTGTGACAAGTGCCATGAAGGAGAAATATGGGTGTGGGGACCTGATCCAGTCTTGGGGGGTGGTCAGGGAGGAGTTGCCTCAAGTAGTGACATTTTAACTCCGTCCTAAAGAGGAAAGAGAATTCTTAGGCCTGTGTGACTGCCCTAGGGCTGAAGGGAGACTGGTCTTGTGTAGAGATAGATGCTGCTCTCCAAGAGCGGAGTGAGGAGGGACAAGCGGATCCATATGAGGCTGGAGAGGGAGATGGGGGCTTCACTTAGAGGGGTACAGGACGTGACTTTATCCTGAGAATAACAGGAAGTACCGGGGAGTTTAAGCAGAAGGATAAGGCGATGGGATGTGCATATCAAAAAGATCACGGGTGGACAATGGCCTGGGGGAAGAGGAAGAGAGTGGCAGGCCATGGATGAGGATGGTGGCTGGGACAGGTGGAGGAGATGGTGGATATGGAGAAGAGTGGGGAGATTCAAAGGCATTTTAGAAGCAAACTCTGTAGGATCTAATCACTACTTGGAAGCGGCAGGGGCAAGACAGAGAGAGGTATCAAAGACGATTCCCAGAGTTTTGGAATGAGTCGTTGGGCGTTGACGGTCCTTTGGTGAGAGGGGAAACGCTGCGGGAGGGGTAGATTTGGGGAGTATGAGCATCAGTGCAGTTTGGCTCATATGGCAGTTGTGCAGGCTGTGTGGCTTCCAAGTGGAGCAGGTGAGTAAACACCTGAGTAAAAGGATCTGTAGCTCAGGGAAGAAAGCTCTGGGCGTGTGCTGCTCACTCTGGAATTGCTGGTGATACAGGTGGTATTTGAAGCTAACAGAGAGGATTTATCTTATTAGGTACAGTAGCCCCCCACACAGCCCTGCGGGGCAATGCTGCCCTGGAGAGCATCCTGCCGCCTCCCTAAAGGAGTGTTCAAGGGCAGCAGGAGAGAGAAACCAGCCAGGGGGGTGAAAAAGTCTCAGGTTCCAGGTACTCAGGCCTCCTTCGGTCCCCTGTATTTGCTATCTTTGCTGCAGTTGTGTTTCTGCAGAATGTCTTGGCTTCAGAGGTAACGCAGCAACAACGCTAATGCGACAACCTGCAGGAGCCCGGTTACTCAGCGTGGACATGTTACTTCTCCCCAGGAGCCTCTGTGTCCTCATTTCTTTATTGAGAATTGAAATGCTGTGTTGTGCGTGCATAGACTCCCTCTGTCCAGACTACAACATAATTATGAAATTTGTAAGCTCATCCTCAAACATTGCAAAATGTCAAGTCTACCACTTTTTCAGTGTTTACAGAGCGATACCTGTTATTCTCTGAAGTACAAAACACAGGTGAGTTTCTCCTGGTTCTTGCTATCTCCTTTAGCAGCATGCGAGGGGGGATCTTTTCAACATTTGTAAGGGATGAAAAATAAACCAGAAAGCAAATCCTGTTTCCTTCTCTAAGTTTAAATCACATACAAGTGTTGGGTTCAAAATGTGTGGGCTGAGATAAACTAAATGGCATTACAAAAACCAGTACAGTATATTTCTAAAGTCATGGTTATGGTGAAGTAAAGGTTATTGAAAAGCACACACAAAAAGACATCGCGTGGACAGGATTCAATAAACAGTATATACAAAGCACAGGGACCTCAAAGGCTCTCAACAAAATCCTCCCCTCCTTCCTCCAGTGAGGAGGTTCATCTCTTCATCTTCATTTCCTTACTGATAAAATAGTTGGCCCAATATATATTCACAGGGTGGGGTGGGAAAGCTAAAGGAGAAAAACGTACAATGACTCGGCCTCTGTTCTGGTATGCTGTAGGAGCTTAATTATTGTAACCTTCATTCATCTGACAGAAGACTTCGCTGGGCTTTCTCTGGAGGGAAAGCTGGCCTCCGAGTTTCTATCTATGCAAATTAAGCATGTTAATATTGTTAAATCACAGGAGGAAATTCTTCTCCCAAACCAGAAGCCCTCGAGTTCCTCCAGGCTTATATTAAAGGGATTACAATCCATTTCCTTCCTAATACAGCTAATGCGCTATGGGAAGCCCCCAGGCCAGGGATTAAAGCATTTATGCCTTTAATTAGGAGCAAACCTTCCCTTAGAGCCTGAAACACAAACAACAAGTCGACACTACAAAGGCCTCCTCCCAGAGCAGTGGGGATATTGATCCCTCTCCAGGAGCCAGGAGCCTCCAAGGGCTTAGCAAACGCTGCTTTTCCCAAACGGGGTGCCTTAGCCGGGAGGGCCCTCAGCAGAAATAGAAACCTCATCACAT